TAAAGCAGTCAAACTCTCATAGAAACAGGAAGTAGAAAATGGTCACCAGGGGCTCGGGGAGAAGGGTAAGGGGAAGTTGTTCAATAGGTATAGAGTTTCAGCTGTGCACGATTAAAAAATTCTGAATATCTGTTATACAATAATTTAGTTAACACTACTGTACTGTATACTTAAAAATGGTTAGGATGGTATATTTTATGTTATATATTTCTTACCACAATAAAAATAAGATATACAGTCTGCCCTCCATATCTGCAGGTTCTGTATTCATGGATTCAACTAACCTCGGATGGAAAGGCCTATGATGGTTTCGTCTATACTGAGCATGTACAAGCTTTTGTTTCTTGTCATTATTGCTTGAACAACATGGTATAGTAACTATTTACATAGCATTTATATTGTATTAGGTATTTTAAGTAATCTAGAGATGATTTAAAGTATACAGGGGGATGTGTGTAGGTTATATGCAAATACTACGCCATTTTATATAAGGGACTTGAGCATCGAAGGATTTTGGTATGGCGGGGGGGTAGTCCTGGAACCAATCCCCCAAGGATACTGAGGGACAACTGTATATAAATAATTGTATAACTAGTACTGCAATTCCTAAACCAATTCCAGGAACCACAATTAGGAGATCTATTTGCCTTGGAAGTTAGAGGGATGTTTAACTTTGTGGTTTCTCAGACTGAAGAAGACTAGGGTACGACTTTTATTACTTTTCATTATCCATGTATGTGGGCTCAGCAAGAACTTCAGTAATGGGAACTGAGTGAGCCAGTGGTGGATAAGCCTGGTGTCAAAGGAAGCTACAATAGGGCCCACATTCACAAAGGCGAAGAGTCAAATCACCATCCAAGAGAGTGCGAATGAACTTGGGCCTGGTCTGGGCTCCTAATTCTGTTAGATCTGGTTGTCCTTGACTCAGAGACTGGGGCTGTTAGGCCAAAAGTCTTTAATATTCAGAGATGGGCAGGGAAGGGCCAGGGGAATTTTTTCAGATCCATTAGAGTATTTTATAGACAAAATTCAACATTTAATTTCTGAAGAATAGGACAGAGGAAAGAGGTTTAGATTGAAGCAAAGGGACTTTAATAAAAAAAAAAGATGACCTCCTAGATTGCAAAGTTGTTTAAAGAGTAGAATACATAATCAAGGAAGTTTCAGAATCTCTAATCCTGGAGATTTTTTTACAGAATCCAAGAAAGAGAGGAGGGCTCCCCCGAGGAAGCAATGTAGACAAAGTAAGCCCTTGGGCTCCCTTCCAGTTCTCTCTGGTCTATTTTTAAAAGTAACATATCCCTAAAATGAAAGGATAAAATACAAAAGAAAATCATTAATGTTCAAATTGAATACACCCCAACGATTTTTATGTAGGTCACATTTTGCTGAGAATTTTCTTAACCATAGCAGTTTATCTCAGAGTTCTTACCCAGGATTTTTACAAACAGCAGTTATTACAAAGGATGATATTATTTTGTGCCGTTACTATAAGGTTGAAATTTTGATCAACGGGGGAAAATACATATAAACCTTGAATGCCCAATGCTAAATATGATCCTGCTCAACTTCCTTGCACTGAAAGCACATCTGAACATAAAGGAATTCTAGGAGTGGGAGTGGGAGACAGAGACAGAGTTGTGGGTGGGGAGAAAGACAAAGCTAGAAAACAAGGCATGTACAAGGAGAACCAGAGAGACCATGAAAGAAGGTCAAGCTGGGTTAATCCAAGTCCTCTCCAGGACTGTTTCTGGACTTCTTGGCAAAAATGCTCTTTTTGTTCTGGATGAAATAATTCTGGGTCTGCTGGTGTTCAAGGTTGTTGCCATATGGAAAGCTCTTACCTGAGATGGAAAGCAAGAAGGAGAAAATAACAAGGGATAGAGAAATGGGGAGAGAGAGAGAGCAGATATGTAAGCATGTCTGTGATGTTTAACTTGTGAACTTCTGGATCCAGCCACACCTGAAGTCTTTTGATTTACCAGTTTTATGAACCAATGCATTCTTTTTCCTTCAAGTAGTCTGTGCCTTTCAGTGGAAAGAATCTCAAGGAGAACGGGTATAAGGAAGATTGAGGGTGGCAGTGGGATGGGGGGAATATCAGAAGAAATGGAGCAGGAATCATGGACTATAGTAGGACGAAAGTAAAAGCAGTGGCTTTGGTGTAATCAGGATCTATATGAGGTGAGGAGACTTTTTTAAGTGTAAAGAAGACAGAGTGACACTTAAGCAAATGCTAAAAGAGATGGAAAAATTATCTTTAAAAAACTGGTTAACTCTTGTCTCCTGGACAAATGGCCAACCATGCCCTGCCACTAAAACGCAATACTGTCTTCAGTATGACATGAAATGTTTCAGGTGGATGAATTCTGCTGTAATATTTGAAGAGATATTCTACTATGAAAATAATTTTCTGCAAACTTCCTCCATTCCATTACACTAATAGCTTCTTAATTATAATACAACATGGCATTTACCATACTAAATAGTCAACAGGATGTGGAACAAGAAATGAACCTAAAACCTTCTTTTCTTAATTTCTTCCCATCCTGCTGAGTATCCATGAGTGCTAGATAAAAGGCTGGCATTTTCTTCACGCTATCTAGGCTCCAGACTTGGAAACACTTTTGTTGAGGTAATCATTTGGTTCACTTTTCAAAAGAATAATAAAGAGCTGTCCCTTATTCCCTTTCTAGAGTCACACTGACATGGAGCAATCAAAGTAACCCATTATCAGAAAATTCCCTGCTTTGTTCAAATTATAAACATCAATGGGCATCGCTCCTGGGAATTCAAAGAACAGACGAGTGTGTAAGAGCTAGGCTTGTTGTTAGCAGAATAAACCAGGTTTGCTTGATGCTTTGTTTTACCAAAGACAACATAAGTAGTGATTACGGTTCCCCTGGGTTTTGCACTGATCGTCAAAATGCTGACAGTCACTTAAATCACTCACTGGGCGGAATAATCATCCTGAGAGGAACTGAGAGGGTACAACTTATATTATAAAATGGAACTGAGCACATGAGACAAAGTATTAACGGGCATGGTAGAAGAGATGTCAGAATAACGGAGATGATTAAAGACATGAATTAGACATCAACTATACTCGGTACTCTTAGTGACATGAACACAACAACTAAATTGTGCAATTACAAAGCTGAGCACAACTCAGAGAGCATCTTTGTTTTTGAAAACAGCCTATGCCAGGTTAGCCTGTGTGAATCACTTCTGTGTGAACCACTCAGTGGCTTGCTATAGAGGTTATGCACTTTCTCACTTTGTAGAGCCCTTTTAGGCATAGACAGAATAGAAAACTGGAATGTTGGGCCACCAGAAATAAGAGATTGCATTATTAAATATTAGACATTGGTGGCCCACAAAACAAGGACGCCTTTCAATCATCACTAATAAACCTACCCAAGCAGCCCCTGCATTTGCAAAAGTCAAAGGAAACCAAGAAAACAGGCATCTGATCTCTTTTCAGAGCTGTTTATTTTGCAATTAGCAAAAGGGAAATTAGTTCTCTCTGACTTTTTTATTTTTGGAGGAGTGGGGTGAGTCTGGGAGATAAAATGGGTAATTTAGACTACTGCTTGTGACAGACTGTGTGCTATGACAGACTATAAAGTTGAGGGCCTTTCAAGGAAACCTACTCATGCAGAGTCTGCTCAGATCCCTTACTGTGCCCAAACTATCCTTAATAGGTGGATACATTTTTATTCTTATAGGTTTCTGAGAATAAACATGTATAATTTTATCAGATAAAAAGTAACATTTTAAATAAAAAGTATAAAAATAAAAGTATATAAATAAAAAGTAATATTTTAAGAAGACTCCTGAAGCAGATCATATAATCTCGCTCAAAAGCCCGCCTCCTACTGTCCATTTTCCCCAACCCCTATTGACCCTAAGGATGGCCACATAATCAGCATTAGAACGTAGGTACTGAGCATTCAAGGGACTCCTAAACTCTGCCTGTGTGGCCTGTATTTCAGGGAGTAATTTACCCCTGTGAATTTCATCCACACTTCTTCCATCTCTAGACTGGAAACCGCAGTTAATCAGGTAATAACTTTTCAAAAGACAATGACAATCCATAACTTACTCTGAAGTTCACAGTCCAAATAATATAAGCATTTTCTTTCTAATAATATTCTAACAATTGACTCGAGTATTAAGTTCAGAGCTGACTTTGTTTCTTTCATGTTCTTGTTGTTATTTTTCTTTTTTCCATTCTGTTTCCATGCACTCAAATCTACCATCTCCTTTCTTCCTTCTTCATATCACTTTTTCTTTGCCTCTGTTTTTAACTGCCTAACACATACTTCTAAACTAATGCTTTTACAAAATATTTATTTTATAGTTATTGAATAAAGTTTGTGTCCTAAAGTTTTTCAAATTATTTTTCTCTGAGTCATTGGTCCTTGATTGGAAAAGGTTTCTCATTATTTCATATCCTATTCCTTAATTTCCCTGAAATCTATAATTATCTCTCAGCAATCTCTTTTCCAGAATAATTGTTTTTCTCATTGTCTCTATTTTCTAGCACCTTAATCACTTCTATCATTCTCTTTTTAGACACCTCTTCATTAGCTTTACATCAGTTAAAATGAAAACGTCAACCATGTGCTCAGCTCTGAGCTCCGAGACACAGTTTCTACCCTTGAGAAGTTGTAAGGAGGACGAAATGTGTGACTTTCTGTGCTTGAGACATAGTGGTTCATTCTCACACAATTTTGTTTCTAAGGTTTAATATCAAGCTATGTTAGCGTGGACCTTTTTGGCCCCCATGCCCCACATAGAGAAGCCAAGATTACTTCCTTTTGCAGAATCACAAAATATGGGAGGTGCAGCATAAGCAGAATTCTTGCAAGAATCTTCTGACAACTTGGACATGTCCCCCATATGGTGACACGTATACACACACACATTTCAAATGACAGCACTCAGTCCTCAGATCCTCAGCTGTCCCCACCATAGCTGCCTGACTAGATACTTACTCTGGGATGTGGAAAGATTGGAGAAAGCTGACTTTGTTCGACCTGCTAACCATTCCAGGCTTTCATGCATGTTGGCCAAGGCTTTGAGGTCACTGACATCACGGAGGATGTCTTGTGGAGGGATTAATTTATCACCCAGGTTCCCGATAAGAACTTCTGACTCCTTGCCAAAGGCTGCCCTGAAAAACAAATCAGAAACACACTTCACATACAGCATGGAAAAGAGAGGAGTGAGAACACTTTTTAAGGCATGTCTAGCAACGTGGTTGTTATAATCACTATATTACAGAATGTTATTTTTCCTAGGTTTAATCTAGTGAAAAAACTATCATATACCTGCTTAAAATTACTCTGGTATAAGAGCTCTTGGAAGAAGAATGAAGTGACCTTCAAGCTTGTACCTTCAACACAACCAGTTTGGGCCTGACCTATACAGCGATGGTCCCTAGGGATGGCTTCGATGGCTGCTCTCTTGTGGGTTTTTTCCTTGCCTCTTCTCCTGCTAGAAAGTTGACGAACAACTTAGGATGTTAAACATATACATGCTTTGAAGGTTATTACAATAAATAAAACAACCAAGTTGATCTGGCAGCTAGAAAATGTTTTAAAATGTTCAAAAGCAAAGAGGGCCCAGCCTCTTTAAGAAAGTAGACTATAGTTGAGATGGACAACAGGTCTCATTCATTCATTCACTTATTTACTTGTTCTAAAAATGATCGGAGGCAAATAAACCATAAAGCATGAAGGTATTCATTACTTGGAAAGAGAAACCAGTAAAAACTAATGCTAGGATCCTTTTACTGACTGGAAAAATAAAATCAGGTAGATTTCACACAGAGCCCAGTGTCTTTATAATGCTTTTGGGAGGGTTGAAAAATCAAGTTACGTGGGGTTACAGAAGGGTGAAGTCGGAAGGGACCCTAGAGACCACATGGCACAGCCACTGCACAGATGAAGAGATGGAGGCTGAGAAGGTTAACTGTCCTGCCTACACGACACACGAGTGGCACGGCTGGGACTCAGTCACCTAATTCCCACAGCTCTCTTTCTTTCAAAAAAGAGAGGGCTGAAATGACAAAAGATGACTGAGGATGTTAGGGAGGAAAATAATGTCTTGTTGGGAAAGTTACACACAGGTAGGTAAGCAGAGCTGATGCTGGTGAAGGTTGGAACAGGCACCTGGAGAGTTTTCTGTAAGTCTCAAGGCTTTTACAACTCAAAACACCTTAAGTGAGCAGAAGCAAGGGCTTTATTTAAGTAGAACACACCAAATAAAGTTTCAAGACAGCAGTGATTAATAGCAGCTGACATATAGTCAGACTGATGCTTAATTGACACATAGGCATTTAGGGCCCAGCACCATAGCAGGCACTCAATGTTGAAAGAAACAACTGCAGTGAATTAAATGCTTATTAAAAAATGTTTATACTACCAAGTAGTGACTCATGATTAGTCTTCTTATTTCAAGAGAAGGTTATACACATATACACATTTTTTTTTTGAGGAAGATTAGCCCTGAGCTAACTTCTGCTGCCAATCCTCTTTTTGCTGAGGAAGACTGGCCCTGAGCTCACATCCGTGACCATCTTCCTCTACTTTATATGTGGTTTGCCAAGTGGTGCCATGTCCACATGCGGGATCTGAACCGGCGAACCCCAGGCCACCGAAGAGGAACCTGAGAACTTAACCGCTGTGCCACTGGTCAGGCCCCTCAACAGAAGGTTACATTTTTAAGGGAAAGTCCTAAGTGATCATCTGAGTTGGTAAGTCATGGCAATGCAGTGCAGCAGATGGAGCACAAGAACCTTCTATGTACATACAAACCTTACTTGGGTGGCTTGTAAAAGGTCGGGTGAGACCAAGAGTCTGCATTTCTAACTAGATTTAGGCTGCTTGTCTGGGAAGCATGTTCCCTTTGAGTAGAAAGGGATAGTGCACAGGCTTCAAAGTCAGACAAGCCTGGGCCTGAATCCTGAATCTGCCACTTGCTCGCTGTGTGATCATGCTCAACTTCCCTGAGCTCTATTAGCTGGGGTAATAGTGCTGACCTCATACAAGTAATGTAAGAAGTAGATAAGATGATTTTTAAAATCCGCATTGAGAAAATTTCAATAATTACAAACATAGAGAGAAGAGTATAATAAACATAGAGAGAAGAGTATAATAAGCCCCTGCTCAGCTTTAATTATCAGCAACTCAAGGTAAGTCTTATTTCTTCTATCCTGATCCACAGCCTTCCCCCACCTGACCTTGGAGTATTTTGAAGCAAATAATTCAGATGATATTCTTAAGCGCATAACCTAGGGCACGGAACTTGGTGAAAGCTAGTAAGTTGTAGCTATTATTATTCTTAGGTCTGTTGAGATGGCTGGTTTATTTAGTGTCAACTCAAGGTATGCTATGATGAATAAATTGAAATGGATAAGAGTGATCAGAAGTAAATAAATTAGATCTCAGGGGTTAGTTTCACAAATGGAGCCTTGTAACATCAGAGCAAATGTCATTGTGTTTCAGAGCCCAGACTTTGCTCAAAATCTTCAAGAGGCAAGTTACTGTGAGAGAAACTAGTAGTTGCTTATCCAGTATCCATTATCTCACGCCTTCTTAGTAAAAGGACCCTGATATTATTGGGGTCAGTAATGTGCCCAATTTAAAAACGAAATAAAACAAACAAAAAACTCTACTCAATTTCCCAGGCCCTCTTGCAGATGTGATGGTCAAAAATATAAACCGAAAGGAGTAGACGGGCTTCCAAGAAAGCTCTTTCAAGCAGTCTTAGTTGGCAAGGACCTCTTTTGCCTTCCCCCTTTCTGGAACACAGCCTTGGCAAGTGAAGCTGCAGAAGCTCTTCTTCAAACATCAGGTGATCTTGAGTATGAAAATAATGCTAAGAACAATGGAGCCAAGACAGGAGGTCATGGGTGCACCGATGACATCAGGGAGCTGCAATGCACCCCAGACAAGACACTTCCGGGCTTCATGTTGTAGGAGAGAAAATGAAACCTTATTTGTTTAAGACCCTGCTAGTCCAAGTTTCTGCTACTAGCAGCTAAATGCAATTTCCGACACAATTATCTAATTAGCATAAGTGAAGTCATCTTCAGAAAACTTTCTGAATTTAGATATCCCTAAAATTGAGTTACTGGGAAAAGCAAAACAATGTCTCCTCCATGATTTGAGCCCAGCAGACAGTTATAATATCTTCCCCCTGGCTGTCACTCAGTCAAGTTGTAAATATTTAGTTTTCTTAATCTGTCCTTATATATCAACGCTCCCAGCCCCTTAATCATTTTTGATAGATATAACACAAAAAATGCCTCTGAGCTGGGTGGTTAAAAAGCAACAGGGGAGGCAAACAGCTTTGAAAAACAGGCTTGGAGCCATTTTTATGCATGTAGGTGTAACCCTGGGTGGAATGTGACAATCAAGACAAACGTATTTATGTAGAAGTCTAATCTGCTTGTGTGGGGATCTCTGGGCCCTGGGCATGTCTGCGGTGCGCTGCCAGCCCGGATGCCTATCCCAATTCCCTTTGGCTCACTGAGATTTGCTTAACTTCCTCCGACGGGAGAGCAACAGACTGAGGAAAATACAAACTGCTTCATGTTGAATACATAGCAGACATCTCATTTGACAGGAATCCATAATCACCCCCTAACAACCTGGAGAGAGCACAGAAACCATGACATCGAGGATAAATGATTGACAGCTATAACTATTTCACACAAAAAACCATTCCTTCAAGGATTTGTGTGTGTCAAAGAGCTTGGTGGACAGTTTTTATGCGTTACAATAACCTAAAGGGGATGGCTTTAGTTGCCTGACTACAGATTTTTTCTAAACCCTCTAATTTATTAAATAAATTATGGTATCTGCACTATGAAAAATTATGCAGTCTTAGAAATTACATAGTAGAAAATTCTTAAGAACACAGAAAAATGTTTGGTATAGCTTATTTTTAGCCATGATATGCAGCTGAGTAAAATAAGCTGTATGCACTGTATGATATTAAAAAAGAAAATAATTATATATCTATATGAACCAAAAAATGATTGGATATCTATATAGCAAAATGTTAACCGTGTGACTGGATCATGCTCTGTGCTTCTCTGAATTTTCTACATTTTCTCCAAAGAACATCTTTGCTTTTTAATGAAAAACAAATATTGAAAACCCTACCTCAAATGAGAAAACCTTTCAAATGGAGGTATTAAGAATCTCAGGAAAATTGGCAGACCAGAGTATTACAGTTACTTGTTCCAGAGGTGGTTAGTGTCCACGCAGAGGGTCTCACTGCCAGAATCCCTACCACCCAGCATCTGGGCCAATACTGTATCCTCTTTCTAGATCTGAATTTTTACTTGTTCTTCATCTTCTGCTTATTATGAAAGCACATTATTTAATGAAGACATCACACATTTTTGAGTGAAATGGGCAGCAGAATAATCATTATCCTGAGAAGGTGAAGTAACAGAGACTCAGAAGTAAGAGGCACTCATTAATTGTCCAAAGATTATCTGACATAGCCAAGAACAGAAGTTAGAACTCAAAACCTGTGTGTTTTAGGTATTGGCCCCATGTGAGGAGTCACCTTTATCATCAGTAAGCCAACAGGCTCATGCAGAAGCCTAGGATACTGACGAGTGTTCAACCTATTAAGCTGAATTTTACCACACAATTATAATCTTTAAAGAGGTCGATCTGACAAGATGCATTTAAGAGATTTTTGCCAAAGATGCCAAAAATTGCCTCCATTTAGTCTTTACATAGTTCTGTTAGCCACTGAAATCTTAGGAAGGCAAAAGAAAGAAAGAAAGAAAGAAAGAATTGCATTTTCAGCAGACTAAATGCACTTATGAAAGAAATGTCATAAATAGTTTCAAAATGATTAAATTTGCAGATTTGGGCTATATTTGATAACATGACATATACACTTGGACTCATTCCTCTCTCTCCCTGCCCCCTTCCCCAAATCTTCCACCATTGCTTCCTCTTGCTGAATCTGCTGTGAGATAACTGCCCCAAGAGCCTAGGAAACTGCCTGAAGGGCAGTTCTCCTGTGACCCAGAACAGAGCAGGGGAAGGGCAAGGACTGGCTCAAACAGTGAACCAGACTCACACATTCTTGCATCTTGGAGCGGGCAGTGCTGTACCCACATTGGAACAAGCCACTCTAAGT